TATTAATTATATTTGTGGCCAGTCTCGAGCCTTTCGCCGGCAACGTCCAGCTGTAAAGCTCGTAAAAGTTACAGCATTCAGGAAATTCTTTGAATATCAACGTGAAAATTGATATAGTTATTGCTGATTTGCCATACATCTAAAGGGCGAATACAAAAATCGTCACACTTTATTTTATACATATTTAGCTACCTATGCCTCTAGGTATAGTCCGACGTGACTCAGAGTATACTCATTTCAGTCCGAGTTCAATAACAAAAATGGATAGAGCACGTTTTAGGGTATTTCTTGGCCGGGCACATTCCCTTCTTCTGTCATAGCTTTGCAGTCGCATACTTTTTCGCCCCTTTCGAAAGTAAAGTCTTTCATTTGGATTTAAATTGAATACGCTTAAGGCACTTGACTGTACTGAATGAAAAGGTAATGAATCTCTTCTTCAATTTGACGTCCTCTATTTATATGTAAGCTCACATTAACTAAAGAAGAGCTGCACTTAAATACACATATGATTTATGACAATATTTGGCAAACACTTTATTTATTTGGTTTATGAATTGTGTTCATCTGTGTTACTCCCGTGGTTTTCTCCTCCTCTCCTTAACTCTCCTTAGGCAACTTATGGATATCATTTGATTTGATTTATGATTATATAAATGTTTTTATGGGACTTTTTGCAGCACCTGTGTTTTTTCCGTCGTTTGGTAGTCGGACAGGGCGTCGTTGTAGTCGGACATGGCGTCGTCGTGGTTGCACAGGGCATTGTGGTCCGCCTGGTGGTCGGACAGGACGTCGTGGTCCGCTTGGTAGTCGGACAGGGTGTCGTGGTCCGTCTGGTGGTCGGACAGGGTGTCGTGGTCCGTCTGGTGGTCGGACAGGGTGTCGTGGTCCGTCTGGTGGTCGGACAGGGTGTCGTGGTCCGTCTGGTGGTCGGACAGGGTGTCGTCGTGGTTGGACAGGGTGTCGTTGTGGTCGAACAGGGTGTCGTCGTGGTCGGACAAGGCGTCGTTGTGGTTGGGCAAGACGTCGTGGTCGAGCAAGGATTCTCGGTTGTTATGAGTGTTACTGGCTTGTGTGGCCTGTGAGGTCTGTGTGGCTTGTGTGGCCTATGGGGCCTGTGTGGCTTATGTGGTCGGTGTGGTTTGTATGGCTTCAGTAGCTCAACACAAGGATAGCTACAAGGGTGCGGACAACAATTGATGTTATCGTAATGAACTCCAATTCCGAAGTCTCCCATCGCAACATGCTCGCGTATGAAATAGCAGTTCGAAACCTCTACGAGCCACAAGACGCTCCACATCCAGCTGGTATACATAGCGGCGTACTGAATATTATTCGAATTATCGCCACGCTTGCCAGCGATTGCTATGTAACGAATCGATTCGTGGCATAAAATGAGGTTTGTAAATGGAAAACGGAATGGTCAACTCTGTTGACCCACAGAAATTGTTTACAATCTTTCAGTCAAGCCCAGATTAATGTTCAGCTTTGAGCGAGAGTCATTCGATAGCTGGCTTCAAGTTTCACACTCGTGTAATTATTTTGCAAGTCAGGTGTAATAAGTACCTGGAAGAGGTTGTTCACAGAAATAATAGTAGTGTGTTTGTTTATCTGATTCCACTCATATACGAATTGGGATTCACTTTTAATTAATATGCTCGCACATCTACGCAGATGACAATTGTTTTGCTCTCCATGCCAACGTTCTCAGAGAGGAAACCAGTTTTAGCCAAATGCCAAACAGTCGCTATATAAGCTTGCGGATGATTTGACTAACAAATATTCTATTGTCACTCTCCATCGCAATGAAATTCTGCTTGGCGCTAATCGGTTTGCTGCTCTGCTGTGGCCAAATATTCGCCGCCTACGATTGCCCGAGCATCTGTCCAGCGATATATAAACCTGTCTGTGGACAGGCCACAGTCAAGGGCAGGCCGGTGCGCTGCGAGTTCTCAAACAGCTGTGTGATGGGAGTTAATGCCTGCACTAAGGGAATCAGTAAGTCACATATTTATATACGTATATACAATATTGGATGTATAGCAATTGTTCTGAGTGGCAACTTAATCTAGTCTTACGTGACTAAATCTTTCGTTAATATATTTATATATATTTTATTTGATATAATTTTTTTATTTTACAGACTGGCAGGAATCGTCTTGTAAAGGACTCTCACCACTATGCGATGCTCTGAAGAACTAAGTTGATTACTCAAACATAAAAAATACTGTTATAGGTTTTCCTAATTTTTAAATCAAATCAATATATGAATAATACTGATAGCCGCATTTGAAAACGGGAACATTCCGTATTAAATGTTAAAAAAAAAAAAACATAGCTGTATCCGTTATATACCCTTAATATTGTATTGCCTATAAATATATTGGTATGCCTAAACACACGTTGCGGGTTGGCTTTAATGGGCTCATTACAGCCAACAGGTGTATTGGCAGCTAACAGCGCCCAGAGCGAAATAGCTCAGTTCTCGGACAAGCCTCATCGAAGATGTTGCAAATGTGTATAATAGTTTTTTGCCTACTTCAAGTATATGTCAGCCCCTTGACCAAGTCTCTCATGCTCCGAGTGCCACTGGAGGTGAAGGCGAAGCCTCTGGCCAGTCCGCAATTGCACAGTTTTCTTGCAACTGAGACGCTGAAGCTGACGCTGGAAAATAGAGACAATATGGAGTATTACGGGCGCATTAGCATGGGCACGCCCCCACAGCTGTTCAGGGTGATCTTCGACACGGGTTCGGCCAACACGTGGCTGCCCTCGAGCAATTGCCCGGAGAGCAATATCGCCTGCCAGCTGCACAGCCGCTACAAGGCGCGCAAGTCGAAGAGCCACGTGCCAAATGGTCGCAACTACTCGATGGCCTACGGCAGTGGCTATGTGAGTGGATATCTGTCGCAGGACACGCTGCGATTAGCGGATGTCGTTGTGCCCGGCGTGACCTTCGGGGAGACGCTGACGCACTATCAGCCTGCCTTCATTCCGACGACCTTCGATGGCATCGTGGGCCTAGGCTTCGGCGAGATTGGCTGGCGCAATACGACTCCCTTCCTGGAGCTCCTCTGCCAGCAGCATCTCGTCGAGCATTGCCTGTTCTCCGTCTATCTGCGGCGCATGCCTGGCGAGCTGTACGGTGGCGAGATCACATTTGGGGGCATTGACGAGTCCCGCTACCTGGGCGATCTCCACTATGTGCCGTTGTCCAAAGTCGGCTACTGGCAGTTCGAGATGTCCAGCGTGGCTGTGGGCAATCGACAAGTGGCTGAGAAGATTGAAGTCATCTTGGACACGGGCACCTCATTCATTCTGCTGCCAATCGATCTCTTTGAGGAGCTGCAGCGCGCCATCGGGGCCATCATTGTGAACGGATCGAGCGTCGTTAGCTGCCAGGCGGAGAATCTGCAAGATGTTTACTTCCATATCGGGGAGAAAAAGTTTACTCTAAGCCCTGCCGACTATGTGGTTAAGCTAGAAACTCCCAGTAAAACGATCTGTATCGCTGGATTTATGCCAATCGATGAGAGCTTCTGGGTGCTGGGCGATATATTCCTGACGCGCGTTTACAGCGTCTTCGATGCGGACGCCAAACGTGTTGGCTTTGCCGAAGCCGTTCTCGAGGAGAATTAGCATAATATGAATGAAGAAAGTTTAAAATAGTTTACCAAATAATATTTCTATATCATTTGGTATATGGTATATAAACCTATACAGTGCTGCTCAACTGAATAGGTTTGATATTTTTGAAAGCTTAAAAAGTTCTCTTTAACAAAAATCTCAATTTATTTAATTAAATGAATTTTGTTGTATGCAAAAAAAAAAAAAAAAAAAAA